ACCTTTCAATCTGCTCTCTGACTCACATTATGTTGTCAACGCCTTACAAGTGTTGGAAGTTTCGGGCCCAATTAGGGAATCCTCTAAAGCCCATGCTCTTTTCCTAGAGCTCCGCACACTTATTCTAAACAGGACTGCACCATTCTTCGCTGCCCACATTCGCGCGCACACTTCCCTTCCCGGACCATTAGCTCTCGGGAATGCCATGGTCGACGTGGTTACTCGCCCTCTTAACATCCTTCTGTCAGCCATAGAGCAGGCCTCAGAGTTCCACACACGGTTTCATGTAAATGCTCGCACTCTGCAGAATAGGTTTCGGCTCACTCGGGAGCAGGCTAGACAGATAGTGCGAGACTGTCCCACGTGTGTCACTAGTCATGTGGCGCCCTCTTGTGGCGTTTGTCCGCGTGGTCTCCTCCCAGGACACATTTGGCAAATGGATGTTACTCACATCCCAGAATTTGGAAATCTCAAGTATGTGCATGTCTCCGTCGACACCTGCTCACAAGTGATGTTTGCCTCCCTTGAGACAGGTGAGCAGGCCCGACATGTCATTCAACATTGCCTGGCGGCATGGGCCGCCTGGGGACAACCCAAGCAGTTAAAAACAGACAACGGCCCTGCTTACACCAGCAAGTCATTTTCTGACTTCTGCCAAAAAATGCAAGTGTCCCTCAGACATGGAATCCCCTATAATCCTCAGGGCCAAGGAATAGTTGAGCGTGCTCATCAAACCCTCAAGTCTATTCTGTTTAAACAAAAGGAGGGTATTGCCCAGGGCATGACACCTAGGGCCAGACTAAATCTTGCCCTCTTCACTTACAATTTTGTAAACATCAACCCACAAGGATCCACGCCAGCACAGCTACATGCCAACCCTGTTGCACCCAAACATGGTTGGGTACGCTGGAAAGACCTCCTGCATGGGGTGTGGAGAGGCCCCAGCCCAGTACTTAGTTGGGCGAGAGGGGCGGTCTGTGTCTTCCCGCAGGAAGAAGGCAGCGAACCTGTCTGGGTCCCGGAACGCCTGATACGTCCCTGCAAACCACCAGACCCCGACCCAGAGGAAACGTCAACCACTGATCAGGGGAACCAACAGGAGCCTCACAAGCCAGACCAAGCAAGTATACCCACAACTCCCATTAACTATGGCACCTTGGCCAACTCCCCTGGTTAGTAGCCTCCTTTTCCCTTCCTTCTTGCATCTCGTACGGTCCTTGCAGCCAATGACTTTTCTAAATTGCTCCACTGCAACCTGCTATATGTTATAATGTTGGGATAACAGTACACTTTCAGCTGTTGTTATGCAGGTACTCCAGTTCGTACCGATTCCAGTTATGGCGGACTCAGACGAGTTTCCTGTGATCCAGCTCAGGCCAACTCTCCAACTGGCTTTCATAAAGGAATGGGCAGGAACAGGGGCTCTGGCTACCATGACTACACTTGCCGCATTCGGCAGTCTACTTCTGCTCTGTCGGATTCGCAGACAAAGGAATAGGGACAAAGTATCAAACAAGCATTGCTGATCATGGAATCTGGTCAAAGCCCGGCAGCATGGCTCGCCATGCTGTGACGCAGGTGTGGAGCAAAGCATCGCAGGGGGTGTCATCCTTGGCCAGGAGACACCCCGGTCCCCATGTCGGTGAGCATGTGGGTTGGGCTCATAAAACAATACTTCCGCCCCCTCCAAAAGAGCACCAACGAGTAGTGAGGCACTGTCATGACTGCAGCGTGACACCTCACGAGGGGCACCGACCTCTGGAGACCCTGCGTCAGTTATAAAGAAAGGGGGAGATGTTGGGCGCAGGCGCTCAACATACCATACCCCACCCGGGACTAAGGACCACGCCAGCTTCCGCAATGCGCTTCGTCCCTCTTTAAATTAGCCAACCCGTGTGCACTTCGTGCTCACTCCATACTCTGTGGCAACTCCTGATTGGCCACAGCTGGATATAGTAGCCGGAGCCTGCATCCCATTCCCGCCCTGCTTCCTTATGGCAGCCTGTGATTGGTCACGGCCAAATATATAAACCAGAGCCCACGTAAATAAACTAGCAGTTAACTGTCGTCCATAAGAGCGTCTCCTGTCTCCTGTTTCATTGGAGCTGCGCCGGTCACACTGTCCTATGGAAGAAAGGGCAGGGACACCAAGTGAGTTTTAGATCTTATCCTGATGAATCTGTATGTGTGGTCCACCACTTCCCCACGGCACATGCAGAACCAAAACTAGTAGGATCCACCGTGATGGGTACATCTAACCACTTGTAAATCCTTCCCAAAGCACATCTCCTTAAGTCACACTTCATCCACAAATAAGGACCAAATGAATACAAAATAAGCACATGAAAAATACACTCATATGTATTATCACTTCTGACTCTTTAAGTCATGTTTTGATCAAGGACACTGACCTTCTCATTCATTTTGTCTCTGCACCATGTAACTACAAGTATGTATCTCAGTGACAAGAAAGTTGAGATAAAATATTTCTTACTCAAAAATAAAAGTCACTTTTTCATATTAAAGTGATGTTATCTGTGTCAAAGTTCTGAGACCTAGAAATTGAAAGAAAGAAGGAGGTTGGCTCTGACACCATCTTGCTCCATTTACCATCGAAGGCAGCCACATCTTATCTCCAGGGAGCTCTTAATTAGGTAATTGATTAGCCAGATGTTGCACAAGACGTCAAGTAAAGCATGAGTGAGTATGGAATCAAATGTATGTATGAAATGGTTCTGACAGCAAGTCATACAGAAACAAAATAACGACTTCCTTGCATAAGAAACTCTGATGTTATGCCTAATAAAGATCCAGAAATCAATTTAAAACATAAGTTTCAGTAACATTTTACAAACTTTCCAAATGTAAACTATTTTTATTATCAAGTGTACTCTTTCAAACAAGCTACCTGTAATCACTTTTTATAGGATACATGAAATTATGGTTATATATTTTTGAAAATTGTATGTAATTTATTTATATGAAATATATTCCTATTCACTTAATAAAGTAAGGACAGACTGGCCGATTTGTCTTCTGCACACTATTTTCAATTTTAAAAGCATAGTAGCACCAGGTGTGGTAGTACATGTCTATCATCCCGTATTCAAGAGTCACAGGCAGGATTGCCATGAGTTCAAGGCCAGCTTGGGCTGCGTCAGTAACTTCAAGCTCAAAATACACTACATAGCAAGAACTGCTTCAAATAAATGGGTAAATAAATAAATACATTTTAGGTTTACTCTTACACAACACAGAGGCACTTCAATTCTTCTAAATCAGACTACTCCTGCACAAACACAAGGAGTCACCACGCATGTAGGAGTCACCCTTGTCACAGCTCTTCACGTAAATCAGGTTCCTGGGTAAGGAAGTCAGTCCTCCCAAAGTCTGCTTCCTCTCACAGAACTTAGTTGGCACAGGTCCTCTTGTAAAAGAGGAAGCCTATTCAGCTCCCAAATTCTGCTGAAGTAGACACTAACAATACCAGCACTGTAAAAAAAAAATTACACAGTAGATTACATAGTATCATGAAAGTGCCTAGGTATAGGAATTTTGAACAAATCAACCAGACCCCTGCCCTCATTGACCTTTCATTTTATTGAGAGAGAAAGACAATAATTAAGTCAAACTTCTCCTGTTGTCCCAAATTCTGCTCTATGTCCACTCCCAAAGTATTTCCATGACTGGAGTGAAATGGGGCGATGTGTGTTGCCTTCACACTTTCCTGAGATTAGCACAATACCAGCTTTTTAGGAAAAATGTAGAAGCCTTTCTTCTATTTCTGTTTCATGGAAGAATCTGAGGAGAACTTGTGTTAATTCTTTAAAGATGTAGTAAAATTCAGCAAACTTATGGTGACTGTGGATGCTTTCTTCCTCACCATTAAGAAGCGGCTGCCATGTCTAGAAGATATGAAAATGGAGGAGGTTCTGTTTACTTCTGCTGCCCATCCAGACAAAGGGGTACTTCTCAAGATGGCCCCTGATACTTGCAGAATGCACATCTGGAGGGAAATGTCAGATGTCTCCCATACCTGCCTGCTACACAGAAATCAGCAGTCTCTGTCTCTCTCTGAGTGCTATTTGTTTGGGAGCTCTGTCAGCTGTCTTGGGTTGCATTAGGATTATGTTTTTAGCCCATTAGAGGAAAAGGTTGCCACCCCCACTAAGCTGCCACACACTCAGAGTTGGTCCCCTCAATTTTTGTTATTTCATTCATTATTGTGAATATCAGTATCTCAGGGCTTTTACATGGGTTTTGACTCTTTTACATTTCATTCCATGCTTACCTATGTCTGTCTGCTTCACCAGAGTGCTGCAAACCTGCTAATTTACATTAAGCACCTGGAACATCCTACAGGCTTTGGTGTCCTGAAATCCTCCAGGCTGATATCACTGAGTGCAAGTGTCTTGTAATAGGCGAGTAAATAAGTTGCAGAGGTAAGCAGGAAGCAGATTTAGTGATTAAAATAAATCACTGGGGTTTTATCTTATTCTTTAAATTTTTCTTTGGTTTCAGGACTTCAGTTTTTAATTTCATGTGATTTGAGGGTTCTGATGATTATAAATCATGAAAAGTGCAACCTTTTGCTTCTTCCACCTCATTACATTCCAGAATAGTAGAGCTGAAAACTTGCTATACCAAAAGTGTTAGTGAACCTTAGCATGGGGAAGACCACTTCTCTCTATATTACCAACAAATACCAAACTCAGGAAATATGAAAATAAAATCTGTTCATTTTGTGGGATTCTGCTTCTTGTAGCAGTTCTGTTGTTACTGGAAAGGTAACAAAAGAGGATGTGATGAGGTTTTAAGAGAGGAAAATAACACTGTACTCAGATGAAAAGCAAACTGATTTTGTTTTATAGTCACAATGGACAAAGTACGCATGGCAAATAAATTTGCATTATTATGATCTCCACTGGGACACCTGCTGTCACCAGCGTTGTATTGAGATACTGAGATGAGCAAGTCTTCTTGTGTCCATCTGACCAGCCCTGCTGATTTGCATGTGCACAGAGCACTGTCCAGAGCCCTGGAGGCTTCTTCATAGGCTGCTCAAACCCTGTGTAGGACTCAGTCCCAGTCGGCACACAGCATGGACATGTGGGTCCCCGCTCAGCTCCTGGGGCTTCTGCTGCTCTGGCTGCCAGGTAAGCATGGGCAGCACTGGGGATTTATTCAGCACTGTAGTGGTCAGAGCCACATGAATCTTGAGGGAAGTTCTTTCCTCATGGGATTACAATGCTAATATTTGTTTTTATGTTTCTACTGTCAGGTGGAAAATGTGACATCCAGTTGACCCAGTCTCCCTCTGTGTCTGCATCTTTAGGAGAGAGAGTCACCATCACTTGCCAAGCCAGCCAGGATATTAGCACTATTTTACACTGGTATCAGCAGAAACATGGGAAAACTCCTAAGCTTCTTATTTATGGTGCAAGCAATTTGCAATCTGGGGTTCCTTCGAGGTTCAGTGGCAGTGGGTCTGGGACAGATTTCACTCTCACCATCAGCAGTGTAGAGCCTGAAGATGTTGCGACTTATTACTGTCAACATAATTATGGTATACCTCCCACAGTGATACAAGCCATAACATAAACCTCCCAGAGAAGAAAATGTGTGAGGCTGAGCTGTTTTCAGTTTCGTTTCCTGATTCTTCCACCTGAAAAGAGTGTTTCTCAGATGTAGGGAGGATCTGAAGCTCATTAAATGTTTTAGAGAATTGATCAGGCAGGGTCCTTGCACCTTACCTTCACTTCCTTCTCCCCAGCTCCAGAAACATAGACATGAAGATGCCTCTCCTAATCTAATAAAGGACACAAATCATTATACTTTAGGAATACAGATTAGAGGAAGACTGGAGATTCACCCAGTGAAAGACAGCACAAGAGTAACTATTAAAAAAATAAAGTAAAATACATAGAATGTGAATTTAAATTCCTTTCAATGACCTGAAGTGTGAAACTGAAGGAGACTTTAAAAAACAAAACAAAACACAGAATGAGCAGGACACTGTAGAACTTGTCTGCACTCATAGCAATAGGGCAGTTGAGGCAAGGTGACTGTCCAATATCCAACAAAAGTGGATTCTAGAAATGACTGATTCTGAATGACCAGAAGCTCAAGAAGACCTGCAAAATAAATTCCAAGCAGGAATTATTTCATACAGGTTATTAGAAAATAGTAACTTGTGAAAGACCAAATTTTATAATGATTCAAAGAGACTCTGGAAATACAAAGCCCCCTAGAACCCCCAAAAGCCCAGGAACATGGACCACTCACGTTTCTGTCCCTCCCACCATGCCGCCCTGAGGGAGGACTGCAAAACCCAGGTGTGGGAGCCTGATGCTCTCTGAAGCCCATAGCACAACATCACTGATAAATCTCCCCCCCACATCTGCCCCTAAAGGTGTGTACAGTTCACAATGAACCATCTTCCTCCATCTCCATGTCTCAGAGGTCCTTCGTTGAGCATCTGAACAAAAATGAGTTGAATAAAGCAGTTCAGGAAACCTACTTCCAGGGTGATGATTGTAGAAATACAGCATATCTGCTGATTACTTTATATGCCAGTATTTCCCCCAGCCTACAATTCGTTAAATAGGTACTTCCCCAAAGTATTTTTAAGCGTGTTGTTTATTGAAATCAGAAAATTGAGGTCACTTCATGAAAGCCTTGTGAAGTCACGCACGTGAAGTCAATATAAAGTCAATAATTTTCATTATATATATGAATTTTTATATAACTTACCTATCACAATAATCCTCTTGATGAAGCCTACACGTACAAAATTTGGACATATGATTTTTTTCCACCTAAACAAAATTTGTCAAAAAGACAAAATAATTATCAACATCAGTGAGGTTTTGCAAAAGCAAAATTTTAGAATCTCATCACAACTACTGAGTGATAGTCTGCATCTTAACCTATTAACATGTAATTTACAAAAGGATTAAGAAGCAGTGTTTTAGAAGCTTCTTTCAGTTAGTGGAAACCTCTTCAGATTCACTGAACCTACTGAATGGCATTTCTACTTAAAGCCAGATATCAAAAAATGATGCATCTGTATTTTTCCTTTTTTTTTTTTTTTGTCTTTTTCGTTTTTATCGGTACCAGGGATCAAACTCACAACTGCCTGCTTGCAAGGCAGGCACTTATGCCCCTGAGCTAAATCCCCAGCCCCCACTTTTCCTTTTTTTGTTACTATAAAAAATATTTAAAACTGAGTTTGTTATACATAAATTAAATTGGTTTCACTTAGTTTTGGAGGTTACACATTCAGGATTGTGTAGCCCCATCTACTCATCCTATGTGAAGAACACAGCCATCTCTAGAACGTGGTATGTACGTAGGTAGGAACCCAACTTCATACCTGAGTGGCTGAGCCTGTACTATGGCTTTCCTTTATCACACCACCCTCTCTTTAAGAGCAGCTCACTTTGTAAGATCAGCACTAAAGCCTCCCAGAGACATCACCTGCACTGAACTCACCATGCTGCACAAGGCCTCAGCATTTGCGAGCACTCTACCTCATTTTTGCCTGCAGTGAGAACTCAGCCTCTGTGGCAAGAATCCTACTGGATAAGCCACATCCAAACCCTAGCATCACTTATCTCCACTTTTAACTGGTGTAAAATGAAATTTGGGATATTTTACAATTACGATCCTTATCTAAGGATAATATACACAAGTATTTGTGAATAGGATGTTCAACTATTTGCCTGAGTGGGTAAACTGGAACACTGTAGTCATTTTGTTCACGCCTGTAACTGATCATATGAATGTTCTACTCCAAGAAGCCATCACTCGTTAGTGTTTCCTGAACAATCAAAACCTGCAGATAAGAAGAACAGCATGCAATAGACAAGTGGCAAGTGAGCTCTTCCAGTTTAGCCAAACTGAAATATGAAGACCCAAGAAAATATAGGGTTGAGTGTTCTCAGTCACAGATTTTTGTGTGGATTTTATCAATCATTATTCTTCAAATGCTGACTGACACAAAATATTAACATCTTTTCATCTGCATAACTGCGTATTTAAAATGTATAGAAGTTATTTAACTATTTTAGGTCTGGAGAAGTCAACACTAATCAATATTTTAGTAGAAGAGCAAAATTTGTATCCTCATACCTGCACTTTTATAACACACACACAAGCTCAACTATTTTACCAGATATATTACTGGATACACATGCACACAAAAGCATGCCTTCATGGCTGTTAATACATGTTAGGTTAATTCAAGTATTTTTTTCTGTTTCTGGATTATTTTTCATTTACAGACACAGACTTGCTTTGTTATTTGTCATTTGAATTTGACTGACATCACCACTGCATTAGCCAAGAATGTCCTGGGAGAATGGAAATCACACAGTGTAAACTGTAAGTTCATAGCTCATGTTACCTCCACACAGAGCAATCTGCAATTTAATGACGTTGAATACTGACTATGATAGATTGTCAGACCTCAGCAGAAACACATCTGAAGGAATGAAGAAGAGTATCACCATTACTGGACTCTTCAAACTGGCCAAAGTTGAAAATGATGAATTTCCAAAGGAAGTTTTTACATCTAAAGTTCATCAATTAGCAGGTAAAACTGAGTTCTTATCATTGTCCACTATTTACACTTCATTGAATCACTCTTGCCATCTGGACCAATGAGGTGAAACAGTGGGGGAATCACCTTTCATATACTGTTAACTTTTAATTGAAGAGTAAAAGTCTAAAGCTAATTTAACCACAATTCCAGCCAACGACTGAATAGCATTTATGATTGTTGTAACTAATCAAACAAACACACCAAAAAAAAAATGTGAAAATGTGTTAGAAACAAGTACATGTTACCAGAAAAAAAGATAGCTGTTGTGTACAGGAAAAGCCACAGAGTGTTTCTCCAGATGTGGCCACAAGAGGGAGAAAGTGCGCACCTGAGATGGCAGAAGAGGCTCTGCGGGTGTCTAGCAATATCCTCCAGTCCTTGGTAAGGCTAGATTGCACTATTAATGCTTCACTGTCCTCTAAAAGAGCTTAGCACTTTGATGAAGGAATAATTTTGCCTGTTTTTTCAGTGGATCTCATGACCATAGGCAGAGTTCATTCAGGGCAGATTCAGAATGATATTATCAGTAAATTATTGGCTAAAACCCTTCTGTCACATGCACTAGAAAGAAAGGTTTTATGAGACTGTTGGGATGGCTCAGAAGGAAAATACACTTGAAGACTAACCCTTAATCTAACACCAACAGAACGAGGCCAGTGTTCCTGGATTGTAGACAAGGAATAAACTGCTCCTCATCCAGATGGGAGAAAGTTTGCCATCAGCCAGGCACATTGGGTATGGACCCTCACAGGTCAGACTGACGTTTCCTCAGAGGCATCATCTCAGCCTGTTTCAGAGCTAGACTGGGCATGGTCTAGCTTACAGCTGTTCAGGGACTGTGTACAAACTGTCAATGGCTAAAAGGACCATGCAAAAGACTGCATTTCAGTATATTTGTAACAGTGGTGACAATCAGGAAAGAGAAATGGGTAAAATAGCTATATTTCATTACACAACGGGAAACCACAAAGTTGAAATTCATTGTCCTTCAGGCTTGAATCCTTTAAGATCATGTTTGAAACTTTATGTTCATCCATAAGTCATCACCTGCCCACCCTGAGACTGTGATTGGGCCATTCCCAGCACAGTTCACTCATGAGCCACAGTAAGGTGTCTTCCAGAGGGAGCCTACACCTACAGCACAGGCAGGTACCTGCATCTTCGAGTTGCAGGAAAGCACGCACATGTTGAAAGTCTATGTTTGTCATTTAAAATAAAGAAGCTTCGTCTTCATCCAGTTAATCCAGGTTGAAAACACTTCCACTTCCCCTACCAGGAGCATCTGGGCAGGCTAAATGTGATCATCAGCTTGTTTGCACAGGCAGCCACTTAGTGCATTAATAAAACTAACTTCTAGCTGGATCCGGAGGAGTGGTGAGGGCAGGAATGTGGGGTCTCTATCTGGTGCACGTCCCTTTTTCTCTGCTGTGCTGCTCCTCTGCCCTTCTTCCCAGCTGTCGTGGGTTATGCTGCTTTATTGCACCAGCTCCAGCTGCTATGGACTGAGTATTCTGGAGCTGTGAGCCAAATATTCTTCTCCTGCTTTAAGAAGTACAAGTCAGGCGTTTTGTTCCAACAGTGGAAAAATTGAGCAATACAAATGATACTGGTTTTGTGCTTTTTATAGATGAATTTTTATGACAATATGTGATGGTTATTTTCATCCAATGTGGAAGCCAACTGAGAACAACTGAGAACTGTGTGTCAGTGTTAACTGAGGCATGTCCCCATTGCTGCTCAATTTGAATCACTTCTGCCTTAAAAGTAGACACTATGTGCTGTGTGAGAAATATGCAACATAGGAAAAGCTGAAGTTTTAGATCAGTATCATCCCCTGAGGACCTACAACTGCAGTCAGGTACCTCACATCCTGAATGCGCTCTTCGTGAGTCTCTACACTATATTTCCTGTGCTTCCCTTACACAGCTCAGGGTTTCTCCCTCAGGAAGCACCAAACTTTATGGTTTCCTCAAATCTGACATGCTTCAGACTAAAA